ATCTTAGTTTGAGGGGTGCACACTTGTCGTAGAGGTGAAATAGATAGATAGATAGATAGATAGATAGATAGATAGATAGATAGATAGATGATAGATAGATGATAGACAGACAGAGAGACAGACAGACAGAGAGAGAGAGAGACAGACAGACAGACAGACGGGGAAGGGATAAACTTTTTAAAGGGAGTTGAAATAACCCTGAGCACAATCTTCTATTATGCCTAAAAACAGTTGAAAATCAACTCTGCTATAGAAAAAGGAAACAAATGGAACGACACAGTTTTTTTTCTTGGAGCGAAATCTTTCGTATCATGTGTCGCCCAGCTCTTGTCAGTGACCTTTGACCTTCTGCATGCTAAATATGTTCAGTTACTGCAATCCAGACCAATTCTTTCACAGCCGTCGGTGGAAGGACGATACCGCCAGCCAGCTACCGAATGGATATTTGGTACACGTTGGAAAACTGTACTCAACAGGGTGTCAAATAAAATTTACAGCTGGGGAAAAGCAGCGTTTCTGAAACAAGATTCCCCCCCTCCCTACTTTTCAGGCAATAGATTCATGCATTAAGTCAGGCATTGTCTTAAAAGAAGCTTTTCTCCTGTGTATCACAGAAAGAAAGATAAGTCTCTCCTAAAGTGGTTTTTTAAAATAATGATATCATTAAGTAAAGAATTGAGCACTGCCTTTCCAGTAGAGTACATGTTACCTCTCTCTCAAAGATATTTTTATAATTATGTAATTAAATAATTAAGCATTGCCTCTTCATTACGGCACATGTCATCTTTAATTAAAGATAGTGTTCTTGAATGTAGCCTAAAGAGATTTTGTGAAGTTTTGAGTGGAAGTATTTTAAAAAATCCTATTCTTAACCTTGCTATGTACAGTATAACAGCAATAGCACTTAGACTTATATACCGCTTCACAGTGCTTTACAGCAGCAATAACCAACTGGGGGTCTGCGGATCACCAGTAATCCATTGGTGATTCGTGAAAAAATGTTGGTGGTCCACAGAAAAATTATTTGCATTTTTTATGAGCCAAGGTGGCACAGTGGTTAAATGCAGCACTGCAGGCTACTGCTAGATCAGCAGGTCAGCGGTTCAAATCTCACCGGCTCAGGGTTNAAAAAAAAAAAAAAAAAGGTGGAAATGTGCAAAATACACTTTAAATTCCAGCTGCTGGAGGAAGAAAACTAATGAGAGTGAAGTGGAGCTCAGCTTACGGAAAATTATGGCTGGCTAATCTGCAGCAGCTCCTGGAGTGTTATTTATTTCCAAGCATTCTGAACAGCTGAATCTCCTCTTAAGCCCTGGGAGATAAATCACTTCTTCCCATTGCTGGCACCCATAGCAGAAGAAGAGAGAATTATTGGATGAGACGAAAGTCCCATTGGGGGGAGGGGGGAGAGACTAAAAGGAAGCCAGGAGACTTTAGCAACAGGAAATCAAATTGGATCATTCGGAAGCTAAACAAAACTATTTAAGGGAAGCTAAACAGGGTCTGTCCTGGCTAGTTCTTGGCTGGGAGACACCAGATAATTCAAAAGATTGAAGGCAAGCTCAAAAAGCATCTCAGAAGAAATGCAAACCACTTCCACATTATTGCCATTAAAACTGAATGGACATATTCATAAAAGTCTCAAGGGAGATTTTAATTGTATCGATTATAGTCATTTCCAGTTTAACTTTGCACCCAGCAAAGTTACTGGTACTCCCAATTGTGGGAAGTTAGCACCCACCCCACTCCTAGGAAAATGAGATATTTTAGGAAATATTAAAAGGGTAGAATATTTCCCCTAAAAGGGAAGCAGAAATTCAGCCCTCCACCTTTGTCAATGGGTCTGTTCTACATAACAAAGATCTACCTCCTTCAGGCAGAGCCATAATAGGAATCCCAAAGCCCTTTCGTTACATCATCTCCCAGCAAGAGTCAACCAAACTTGGGACTTGGAACAGCCTACAGAGTTGCCCCTGCATGGCCTTATGGGAGTCTGACAACCAATCAGAATACAAGCTCAAATTCAAAAGCCCAAAGAAGATATAAAACTCAGATACTCTCAGCATCTCTCCTCAAACCATGTGATCCATGGTCCACTATTAAAACCATCTTTCCAAGCAGCCACCATGTTTCCAGTGTCTTTTTCCCTACTTGGAATTGAACCGAGATGGACATTTTTCCCAACACAATCAATCCTGATTTCCAGATCAGGATAAGCACACAGCCCATTCAGTTCAGCTGGCATAAAAATGCCACTTGGTGTTTCTTTATTGGTCATAAAAACAGTGGACTAGCAAAAGTAGGAAAGGCAGGGGGAAGCAGAGAAAGAAAGAAATGAACAACAGACAAGAATCTACAGACCACCCATCCCTTTATCTATCTATTGACCAAGACTGAAAGGCATAAATATTTCCTGAACCATTGGTGGGTAATTTAACATGGATAGTTCCAGAGGAAGCAACTCTGGTTTTCCACTTTAACCCTTTCTTATACATAATGGCAGCAGAATCAGGATGGAAATCATGACACCGGGTGATTCCCTCCTCCAAATTACATCATGAAATAAGATATTGGATGCGTGGGGATAATGTATCTAAAGAAAATAAATAAATAAAACCACCATCCCTGCTGACTGCTGAATGAGGACGCTTACTGGGAGAAAAGTGGTTTAGAAGGATTAAAATATATGCAGGCAGGTGCAGCCATTCCGTGACCCGTCAAAACCGCGTTCCACAAAAGCGCGGTCGACGAAAGCGCGTATGTGATGTCATCACAGCGCGACGAAAA